GTAAAGGTTCTTTAATTAAGATTCTTTCCACATGAATCTGGTGTCTGACTGAAATATAAGGATAGTCATTTTTCGGTCGATGTGCCACCTCTCACGCGCTCTTGAAAAAAATTCGCTCTTAAAAGTACTTCCCAAAACATTTGACTTCAACCTCATGTCGGCACTTTATCATATGGTTTTAGTGACGTTACTTCTTCAGACTTTAAGACGAAAATTAAGAGCAGAAAAAAATTTTTATTTCGTTTAGAGGACGCGTGTACCTCAAATCTAAAATAGAACACCGGCTTGGAAAATGGATTGAATTATCAGATGATGCGTCACTGCGTAAGCATTTCTGTTCTAAAACTATTGATCTGCTACTTAACACTTTCTTTTTTTCAACTGAAATAATGACATTTACTTGTTCCCATCCGTTTATAATGAGTTCTTCATCTTGGCGAAGAAGTTGTAAAAAGCGTTTTTTGTTAAGTTTGCATAGTTTTCCCTTTTTGTTTCAAACTCTCACATGTTTTCCGATTTGATGGTCTCTGTTTTTAAAATAATTGGTGATAAAATCGATCACCAATTACGAAGCATTGTTTAATTTGTTAATAAAGTAACCCACCCTATTGTGTCGCCGAATTTTCTGTTTGTTTGAACTTAGCTTTGCCAAATTGAGGTCACTTCGTCGTTAAACATCATGTGTTGTTAATAACAGAAAAATAGTCCCTAGCGCTATAAATTACCTATGTATTAAACATTCTTTAGCGATCAAGTATTCAGAAAAAGTCTAATCAGCATAGTTTTTTTAGTAACTAGCCTGTTTTAAATTAAGAGACATCGTAGTCATGATTGAGTATACAAGCTGGGAAAAAGAAAGGGAACCCGCTATATTTAATTTGCGTAAATATCATTTCTCAATCACAAGAGTGTTGAATCTACTCAGTTTTTAAAACTTGTCGATTGGTTGAACAATTGACTCTGAGAAGCGAAGGAGCTAGCGCCTAAGTAACGAAAAGTCTGTCCACTTTTTTCACAATTTATCTTGTGTTGTTGTCAGAAATAAAAGCTTCAACACTAGCACGCAAGAATTAAAGATACCTAGCGAAACAAACCTTTAAGCGTGAGAGAGATTGTTTTGTTTGAAGTTTTAAACCTACCGGATGCGTTCTTATAAATGGTCCTTTTCTGAGTGACTGAACTGAAAAAGAACCCTCGACCTAGAAATCTTAAATTAGAGATACTGAGCCCTGAAATATCGCATCCAACAGTTGTCCGCAGTCGGTCTTCCTTCAGCATCTCCGGTATTTGTAAACGACTGTCTGTGATAATGCTCGCGTTTTTGTCACTTGCGGACGTTGGAGGTATCGCTTTTCCTGTGCAGTTGTTTATTGTCGGATCGCTTCTAACAGATCATAAAAAAAAGGTAAACGTAAGAGCCCTAATTTAATAAATGCGGTGATAGTGTTATGAAATTCATGAACATGTATTTTGTAGAGGATCGTGGATATCAGTCGAAAAATGCCAGTTTCTTTTGCCCCCTTAGTCTTTCAGTGATTTCAATACGTGTCACTTTTATTACGCTTGAATAAAAATGTGACTGTTATTGTTCAAGCTATTTCAGGTTTTCGATATCTAAGGATTGATATTTGAAGACTGAAGGATCTAAAACTCATATAAGTTGTCATGAAAGATCATCCGTTTTGTCGTTGCATTCCAACCGGTTTATCTGCTTTAGATTAGTTTCAGGAGAAATTAAAACAGGACAGCCTAAAAAATGCATTATACGCCTATTTTATATCACTTTCTTCAATTCTTCTACCCTGTTACCCTGGCGATTTCACAAAACGTCAATATTTTATTCCTCTCGGCGTTATTTTCTTTTCCCTTCAAAGTTGAACTTCTTCAGGAACTTGTTTCAATTATCCTTTGTTGCGATTGCAATTAAGTATTTAATTGGCCACGTGATTCGATAGATGTGTTAAACAGCTTATCCAATTAAAAAACGTCACCATGAGTCAATATTTGGGGAAC